TTATCCCTCATTAATAAAGTTTTTGGATAATAATGCCCTCATTTTAAAATAAATTTACATTAATATCCTATTTCAATTTTACCCTTATTCAACTGAAATTTTGGACAATAATGTCCTTGAATTTAAAACAATTTACAAACCACTGCCACTCAGTCACCACCACCACTGCCACCTAGCCACCACCGCCTACAGCGGCCAACCACCACAGACCGCCTCGGAAAACTCGTCAGAGTCCCTAAAAAAGAACGAGTTTCGATGGGAGGCTCCGGGAATCATCGCTATGGCCGTTTTCGGCCATCCATATGGCTGGAAACGGCCATATCGAAGCCTCTTGGTCACGGTGAGTTGCTGATGGGGACTTTCGGAGACTTCCGGCGGTGGTCTGCGGTGGCGGCAGGAGGCGGGGGTGATTTCATAATAAATTAAAGTTTTATATAAGCAGGGGTGTTTTAACTAAATCTGAAATATTGGGGGTTAAAAGAAATTATTCAAAAATTAATAATAAAAATAATATTATATTAATATTTGTAAAGGGGACAATTTAGTCATTTAAATAACATACCCACCAATTTATTCCCCATAACCAACCATATTAATATAACATACCCACCAATTAACCAAACACATTTTTTTAAAGATTCCCATAAATCTTTCAAGTAATCTATCTTTCCAGTAATCCAACATTCCCAGTAATCTAATATTCCTGAACCAAATGCTCCCTTAGGGTGTGTTTCATGTATGGGATTACTAAAGTCATTTTATCTTATATTATTTATATTATGTAAAATAATATAGAATTTTGATAATCTTTTAAAACCAATAATAATTACTATTTGTTATATACGTAGTAATCTAATTATTAGTATTTTCTTAAGTATTTTAAAATTACTTGGTAATTGAATTTTTGTTACAATTTTATCTCTTATTAATAAAATTTTAGGACAACGATGCCCTTACTTTGATTTTAATTTACATGAACCTACCATTACAATTACCTTTAATTAATTAAGCTTTTGGATTTTAATGTCCTTATATTAGTGACCATCGGCAACCGAAATGGCCAGACTGGCCAGTCGTGCGCCGTTTTGACAACTTTTGATTGTCATTCGGCGATGGTGGCTGACAGTCGGTTGTCTTCTTGGGTGACTGTGGTGCTTTACTTAATTTTTAAACTTTTATTATGGGGGCATTTAGATAAATTAACAAATTTAGAGGGTTAAAAAAATAATCTAAAATAATAATAATATAATAATAGGAAGATAATTTAGTAATCTATATAGCATACCCACCAATTTATTCCAACTTAACTAAACACATGTCCTTAAACATTCATAGTAATCTTTAAAGTAATATATCTTCCTATTATTATAACATTTCCGATAATATATATTATTTGAACCAAACACAATTTTATATCTATATATATTATGAGTTATTTGATTATGGTACTCTTATATTTGAAAGAGTGAATGATGTTGATTAATTGGAAAATGAATTATAACCAGAATTATAATACATCTAATCAAACATTACACATAAAAAAAAAAAGTTAGTGATAAATTGTTGGATTTTCAACAATGTATCTTGCCCTATATTTTTTTGGTTTACTTGTCAACTTTTATCTATTTTATTATCACTATAACAATCAAATTATTTTCAATTTATCATTTCTAACAGTGACATGTGAGATCAGATTTTATTTTTTTAAATATTTTAATTACTGTTTAATTTTACAAATACATATGACTTGGAGTGTCTTAATCTTCTTGTCCTTTTTTATTTTTAATTAAAAAAAAAAAAAATTGTCATATATAAAAATAAATATATATATATAATATATATATAACACCCTACATGGTTTTGTACAAAATGATTCCCTATCCAATTATAATAAATGGAAAAAAAAAAAAAAAAAAATCCCATGAGTGCAAGTTCGATGGGGTTGGGGATACAAAAATAGTTTTTATAATTGAAAACAAAAACAAAAAAGAGAGGAAAATGAAGAGAAATAGAATAAATAATGCATAGAAAATGTTGAAAATGTATTTTTTGTAATTATTGTAGGGAGGTGTAGTTAGGGGTGTGTAAAACCGATATCCAATCCGTTGGGGTTTTTTATGATTCGATCCAAATATTCGGATCAAGATAAAATTGATTTGAATCCGATCCGATTTATAGATATCGATTTTCCAATATCTAATTTTTTAGATGGATCAATGGATATGAAATTGATCCAAATTCAACAAAATAAATAATTCCATACAGTTTATTAAAATTGAAATTAAATAGACTATCGAATAAGTAGATATTAAATAAAATTTAAAAAGAAAATAAATTTAAACATATCGCTTTACTCCAAAATATATCAAAGTATTCCAGATCAAAACTCGGCATCCAACTTATTTCGGTGTAGTAGCATTTTCAAATTTATATCATTAAAAAATTGGAATAAATGAGAGGGAAGTTAAAAATGGTTTCTAGAATCGAAGAAAAATATTTTGGACTTTTTAAATGGACAGAAAATTAAGTACAGAGCATCTGAAAACAGAAAGCTGGAAGATTTTTTTTCTTTTTTAATGTATATGTGCATCTTTGTTTGATATCCAAAAGATTATTATTTTTGTTTGAATTATAATAAATCGATGGTATATTTTAAAGCAAATAGTTAATAAATTCACTTATTACCAAAAACGATAATAATATGCATAGTTTTGAAAATATTGAAGAAGAATTCGGATTTATACTCTAAAAATACAAGAGTCTCAAAATATCTTTCATCCTTAACTTTCCTCATGTAACAATGTGCTCTTTTTAGAAAATATTCTGTTTTCAATCCCCAAATATGACATACAATTTTAACATATTTAATAGGGTAATTATTATTTTTATGTAGGGCTTACAAAGTGAGCACCTAGACGCTCACCTTTGATCTGCTTGGTAAAATTTCAGGACACCCACTTGGAGAATGATTATATATAGGGGTGTTCGGTTCTAGGTACCCTATATTTTTGAAAGAAACGAAATCAGAATCGACGGTTCCAGTTCCTAGGTACCCAGAATTAGAATTGTAACAACGATTTCGATTCCGATTCTGGGTATCCTGTAAAATTATATGACCCCTAAAAGTTTTTAAAAGGCAAAAAACCCTTAAAAACTTACAAATACACCCCCACCGGGCACTGTTAATAAAAATAAAATTACAAATCAAAATTACAGACTCCATTACTTGGTAAAGGTAGATTCTTAAAAACAAACTAACTTACTTTAAATGTTATGAAATATAAATATAAATGTATTACATTATTTTTCTACAAAAGTTTTATTTACCCCTATAATCTTTAATTTATTTATATTAGTTTCGGAATCGCACAGTAACAGTTCTAAAAATTTGGAACCAGAACCTACCGTTGACGGTCGATTCTAGGTAGGAACCGGAACCAAACCTCAGGTACCTGCCGATTTCGGTTCAACAGGTTCTTTTAAACAACGTTATATATATATATATATATATATTATATATATATATATATTATATATTATATATATATATAATATATATATTATTATATATATATATTAGACAACGTGGAATGTCCTGATATAATTTGTGAGGACCATGCTTCATATCATTATATCTCAGTTGTCAAATATCAATTTAATGGACTGATCAAATCCAATAGTATATAGATGTGATCTTGAAGAAAAATTATATAAAGACGTTTGCTTAGAGAAATTTCATATATCAGGATGTCATATTAGAAACTTGTAGCTCTAATATTGTAATGAAGTATTGAAAGAAGGGTAATTGAAGAGCCGTTGATTTTATTTTAACATGCCAAATCATATGTTTTAAATTAGTTTGAATGCACATCAAATATAAGTAAAGTTTTAATGCAAACTCACCATTTGATTGAAGAATAGAGCGTAAATTCAATGGTGATTAAGCATGAAAATTAATATCAAGCATTTAACTAAAAAATATAATATGACATCATAAAATTAGTTTTAGAAATGACTGTAGTTGAAGAGATGAAATTTGATGTGAATAATATAATAGGATGTTAAATGTCACAGTAAAGAAGGTGAGGTCCACCACATGCAATTATTTTTCCAAATGACAACGTGGCGGAGGGGTGTGGGAGATGTATGTTTTTTTTTTATAATTAAAACAGTAAATAGAGAGCCCACTAATCACATGTAAAGCGTTTTAGAATGAAAGCCCAAAATCAGAGACAATTGTTCCCAATCACGTGACCATTTAATGTCTCTATTTATTATCCCTTTCCGTAGACCCATTCCTTTTTTTTTTTTCTCTTCTTTTGTTGTCAAATTTAATTACTAGCAGTTGATATTTTTATTTGGAAGGAAGGGCAAGTTTGACTTTTCACCCCTCCCTAACAGAAACCCCATATACTTTTCAGTTTTCCCCCTCTTCTTCCTCCCTTCTCACGTCAAAACCACGAGGCTGGCAGAAGGCAATGCGGGTTACTTCCTTGTTTAACGGGCATGGACAGAATGGGGCTTAGGATCTTATTTTCGAACCACTGGATGCTGACTGCTAATAGGTGAAACGTGTGGGGTTTGAGGGAAGCCTTCTCATAATAAAAGGGGGGGTAAACTGTGTAGAATATAGAATGTGGGTGGGCATTGTTAAGTTGTGATAATATTTTTTATTTTGTTTAGAACCATCTGATTTGTTGCAGGGCAGTGCAATCAAACCTTGTAGGATTTGACCAAAACCCTCGAAATGTGGGCTAGCTATCAAACACATCTCAGACCTCTGCCGATTCCTGCATGATGTTACGAATCATGGAGGGCTGCATGAAAATAAATATACTCTTACTTCCCTTCTCCCTGCCCTTTTGTTAAAAGGAGAAATGATAATGGGCTAATATATTTATACAAATAAGTACGAACCCTGAACCTATCAGAAAATAATGGATCATCAAATATCCCTCATCACTTAAATGGATCCATATCAACTATCATAATTTATTAAAATCCCATAATTTCATGAGTTAATTATTTCCCATTACAATATTTTTGTACAAACAAGAAAGCTTTAGAATTAACTGAAGTAAGGTGATCGAATTAATCTCCCCGCTGTGAAAGCAACTCAATCAGATATTTGTAAAATGGGCAGACAGAGACAGGCATCTTCATCATGTGAGGAGAGCTAGCCCTTCTTACTCCTTTCGAATCCATGGAACTGTAGCAGCAATGAATTGGTGACAACGAATATGGAGCTCAGGGCCATCAGCCCACCTGTGTCAAACCAAACATCAAGTATTAAATGAGTTAGTCCAACATAGAGAGGGCAACGTTGTTATCGTAGGACCCATGAGAAAGTCGAACATGGCTTTTCTTTCTTTCCATTCTATTCATGGATTCAGGAAATACGCAAAATATGAGTATGTGATGTAATGCATGATTTTTACTCGCCTGAAAGTGATGGTGTCATGGCAAAATCATATTGTGGAAGTAGCAGTCCGGCTGCTATGGGGATGGCAACAACATTATATGCTATCGCCCATGATAAATTCTGATAAACTTTTGCCATTGTTGCCTGTGCAAGATCCACCGCATCTACGAGCTACAAGGAAAGTGAACTTTTTGAGAACAGTTACATAGAACTTTTAAGTTAGGAAAAATTATGCAAAATAAATGAGATATTACAAGAAATCATTATGAACGTAGCAATTACTATTTAGTTATATTTGTGAGAAAATATAATATGGAACCACATGGGAGTAATATATCATGCATTCTGCGTGGTGACTTGCTCACTCACACACACAAACTACAGATACTGCATTGTTACCATGCAGGTACGTAACTAGATGATTTCTACGATGGTGATGCCCAGGAAAAATTATCTTGTCTGACCTTTATGGGCTGCAAAGTGGATAACATGGTTCAACTATGACACCAATGAATACAGACCTCAAAACTTTAGCTCAATAAATGTTCAATAATACCAAAGAGTAACGGAAACACTACATGTAAATAATATACTACATAGAGTTAAAGCTCCATATTATTACCATGTAGAAAACTATGATGTTGTTGGACAAGCTGATTAAAGTAATAGCACCTATGGGCACGAGTTGCATAAACAATTACAATACTTGAATGTTTCAACATTAAAGAAAACGTACTTGTGAAAGTTTGTTTCCAAGAAGTATAATTGATGATGCAGTTGATGCAGCATTTTCTTGTGCTTCAATCTGCAGAGCAATCCCAACATCGGCAAGAGCCAAAGAAGGTGCATCATTTATGCCATCACCTACCTTCAACAGAAAAACATGTCAGCTGAACATTTCAACCAAAGCTCATAATTCTACATTTCCTATGCATTTGTTGCTTGAACGGGGGCCCAACCTATACCTTACACTACCTAAGCTCATGATCATAGGAATGTTTGGACCCCGAAAAATGTTTAGTAAAATCTGCCTACAGTACTTATCTAGGTTTGTCTCCATGATTATTCAAAGCAGGCAATTAGACAAGGTCATCCAATCACCATAACAACAAGCAAATAGTTTCATAAATAATGTTTTCTTTAAAACATAAGAATTTAGATTCTCAACTGAAGACCAAATAAAATATAGATCATCCTTTTTTAAAGCTAAAAAATTACATGTTGGTAACAACACAATTACAGAAAATAACAATAAAAGGGTCATCCAATAGTTTACCCTTGCAAAATAACATGTATGCATCTACAAAAAAACAGTAAAGAGATATAAGAATAAAAGTACCCACAAATCATTTTAAAGCCCCTAATTTTTGCTGAATAAAACATAAATTATTGAGTTCCCAATACATCTAGTATCTGATAGAAAATAAAATTAACTACCATGTTATGATGAATAAGGTGATTCGTTTTTCTCTATTTTGATACAAAATTCTAGAGGAATATGATATTAGATCCAAGTAAAGATGGATATGGTTCATTTTTCTCCATGTTGATGCTAAATTTTAGAGGAATATGATATGGGGTCCAAGCAAAGATGGTTACCATTGCAACACGATGTCCTGCAGTTTGAAGAGTTGATACAAACTCTGATTTCTGCTGTGGAGTCAAGGATGAGTTGATATATTCATTTTCTATTCCAACTGCCTTTGCTACAGCTGCAACTGCCTCTTCCCTGTCTCCTGATAAGAGGATCGTTTTGATACCCTTTTGCTGGAGCCTTCAATTTTTAAGGTAGGAAAGCACATGATATCAATAGTAGGATTTCATAAATTGGATAAAACTAGAAACTGCTTTTCCCTGAGTAAACTACAGTTTAAATTCATTTCGGTTACTATTAACATTTGATTCTACGAGCCACACCTCATAAAATACAATTTAAATTCATTTCAGTTATCAAACATTTGATTCCAGCAGCCATACCTCATTAAAAAAAAAATAATAATAATAATAAAAAAAAAAAATAAATAAAAAGAACCAATAAAAAGAGTTGTGTAAAACATGTGATGTAAAGAAGAAAAAAACTGTCCCCACATCAAAGACAAATGGAGGATTTTGGCTTAGGGTGATTCCAATCAATAAAATAAACTAATAAACATATAATTTTATGATAAACAATCCATGAACCAAAACACATATTTAAACTCAACAATGGCTCAAAGATCAGAAAACATTCCAAAACTTTCCTTTAATGCTAATTAGAAGTAAAAATATGTCATCACAAATTTATGAATTCTCTCTGTTTTGAGAGTGATAAATAACTGAAAAGGAGATCTATTGATAGATACATGAAGAATATCTATGTGGTTGTCTTGAAGACCTCGAAAAGCTTTGTTTTGAAAGTTAAAGGATTTCTTGCACATTATTGTGTGTTTGTCATGACAATCTGCAGAAGAGTTTGTCAATATCACAACATATTATGGGGAAGCAAATTACCTGCTTACAGTAGATTCGGCATCATGGCGCAAACTGTCAGATATTGCAATAGTACCAATAATACCCTCTCCTTCACATCCAACATACACAACTGTATTTGAATAGTTAGATGATGACGCCCAATCTGATGACTGGTTACTAATAGTATGTTCCAGATTCATTAGATCAGAAAAATGTGTTCTTTTCTGAAAGCTTTCATTTACCCATTCTAAAGTACCAATTGCAACCAAGCGTCCATCAACTTCTGCTAAGGTTCCAAAACCTGGTTCTACTAATTGCCCTCTTGTGACTGGGATTGCCAAATTTAATGCTTCTGCTTTATTTACAATAGCCGTTGCAATTGGATGCGTTGCTGTTTTCTCTACTGCAGCAGCAATTTTAAGAATTTCTGATTCTTCATGAGCAAAAGCAGCCACTTTAGAAACAGCAGGTTTCCCTTCTGTGAGTGTTCCTGTCTGCGAGTGGGAATGGAGGAAGAAATCAGAATGTAACACTTTCAATGGCATCATTTAGAAATTTTATACTACCTTGTCTAAAGCGACATAATTTATGCTGGCCAAGCGTTCTAATACATCTCCTCCCCTTATAAGAAGTCCTTGTTTTGCTCCTGATTATTTACAATGACATAAAAGAAAACTTAGAGCTTCTAACAAGTATCCAAGAAATGCATTATAAAGCATTAAGGTTTTACAGGTTCTGTCGATATAACAACAAAGTCCAATATCTTTTATTTTATTCATCATAATCACCTTATACCCAGACTCGAGAAAGTGATCAAACCATCTAAAAGTAGGTTTGAGCTTGTAATGGATAAAAATATAAAAACAGAAAAAGCTGCAACTTCAGATGACATGTTGAGCATCTAACCATCTAAGGGTACGAGATTCCTATGAATCACGATTTTTGAAAGCAATTTTCCTTGGAACTCGAATATAGCACTCGAAGTATGCAATATTTCACAGCTCTCCATTTTATTTCATGCCATTTTGTGGCTAGCACTAAATTAGCATCAGTCAAAGCATCAGTGAAAGTAGAACTTGTAACTAGTGAATGTAACATATATTCCAATCACTTAATAATCTTAAAATAAAAGGACTACCGATATGAGTGGAAGTTGATTACAGGACATGAAGACAACATGCACCAAAAAAAGAGATTTTTGAGAATGTTGTGATTGGAACGTTATTGATATGAGCAGTGCCATTCTCTTCGAGATATGTGAGACATCTTAACACTATCAAACTTGATAATATTAACAAGTTAGATAGCATACCAAGAGAAGTGCCAACCAGGATTGCAGTGGGTGTTGCAAGGCCCAGTGCACATGGGCATGAAACTACCTGGGAAAAGCAAATTAATGTTAAGGACTACAAAGATAAACAAAAGACTAAAGTAAGGAAATTTAACAAATGTCATGTCTGTTCAGCATTACACACCAAGACATCCACAGCGAGTTTCAAGCTCAAAAGCAATGGATTCCCATCTGGCCCAGCAATGTCATTGAGCAAAACATCTGGAAAAATGTTAGATCCAATGTAGTACCTGAACATGGAAGAAAAAAAGCCTAAGAAGCAGGTACCAGGAAAACTAAAACCAATCATTCCATAAGAAATTAAAAGTACCAATTATTCATCAAAAGGATAAGAAAAAGCTAAGGCTGATAGCTAAGGACCCAACATTAATACTTTAGTTCAAAGGCCTCCGCATGTGTAATGGTCATTAGGAGAGGCAAATGGGCAAAGCTCAAAACCGGAACCAGGACATATAACTAGAAAGATGGTCCAAGCTCAAAAACCAAGACAAATGATTTAGATTCAAGTGTGTGCAGTAGGGATTCCACTTGAAACCTTTAGCTTTGATACCATGAAAGTACTGAATTATATTTCTTTGAATTATGTATCACATTACATAATATTGTGCATATGTATAGGCTAAAACAAACAACAAGAAAAAAAATCTTAACTATACAAAGGTATCCTAATTATATAAGGTAGCATGATACCATGTTATGTAACCATTTGACCAAAAATTTTAAGCTAATATTTAGTGCTCAACATTAATACTTAAATCTAACAGAAGTAAAGCTAAAATATTTGTCTGTGGTTTTTAGTAAAACAAAGGCTTGCAATAGCAAGCTGGCATGACAGCTGGCTTGAACAAAGCAATGGAGGTTAAAGAATTAAATTCAAATTTATGCGGGAGCATGGTGGCCCAAATTTGACAATGAAGATAGGGCCTTCCAAGGACAGAAAGTTGAAAAGGTCCATGTAACTTTGTCCTAACAATATAAGACAAGGACTCAAAAGAAGGTTAAAAAAAAAAGAAGAAAAAAAAGCAAAACAATAAAAGAACTTAAAGAAAAAATCTAATAAATTGTTCTTCACAACATCATTGTTCATTAGGATAAATCACTATCATTTTCATCGTCACTATCCACTGCATCATATCCCAGATTCCAACTGTTTGGCTTCATAAACAAATAAACATTAGTTCTCATTTCCGTTTCATTTTCTAAGAACATCTACAAGATTGAGGATATCTTAAGAAATTAATCAAAGTACTGGTTTCCCTTCTACCCTTCCCTTTAAGCACCTTCAACTTGCACAGCTCTGCAAATGGTAATTCAAGTAAAGAAGAAAGCCTTACCAGAATGCAAATGTTGCTGCGGATAGAGTCATTACACTGTACACAAATGGCCCAGCTATTGCATCTGCAAGTCTTTGTATTGGTGCTTCTTGGCCTTGAGCTTCCTCCACCTGCAGGTTACAGCACAAAGCTTATACATAGTAGAAACAATCCACAAACCAAGTTCAGAAATTTTGTTTCTGTTGTTCCTCGAACATAGACTCAATTGAAATTATTAAATTTAAAATTTCAAACAACTCTTACAAAACATTATAGATCTTCTTACAGGCCTCAAGTTCTCTTTGGTTCTATATTTTAAACTAAATTGTGAGGACATGAAAATGCTAAAGAAGATGCATTGGGTACCTGTTTGCTCACTACACTTGTTCTTTCACTCCACTATTACAAAGGAAGAAAGTAATATGCTGCAAACTAATAGTGTCATAACATATGATCCTTCTGTTACCATTACTAGTTGCTCCTTAATAATAGGCTGATAATGCATGGTACACCCTTAATTCAAGGATAATCATGTGTAATTAATAGTTTCCTTTACCATAGGGGTTAACCAGTTATATAGATCCCCTCTTTCTACATTCTTATACCAATAATGCTACAACTACAAGCATGTATCCCGATTTTGTATACTAAGTGATGTGGTAGCTAATTATGAGAGGTTGGCCAAACGGCTATGTCTGTGGTTTGTTCTCATAAGGTTTAGCGTTCAAGTCCTTTCATGGGCATCTACATGGCCAAAAGCCATTGTTGCCCACATCTCAAAGATTGTTAGAGTTTGGTGGGGGCTCCAGTTTTGAACTTGGTATCGTGAAGCGAGGTTGGGGGATTTTGGATTATTAAAAAAAAATGATGTGGTAGCTGGTTTTGTGATACCACATAAGTGATAGATAATGCAGTAAGTGATTTGTGCATGCCAAACCACTTCTCATAACACTTGGGATATAAAGTTGTGACACTTATTTCTGTAAGTGTAGCATTTACTCTTCTAATATAATTAGTTATATATACTTTTGTTTGTGGCTAATAGGTAAGCTTAGTTGGTAAATTCTCTTGTATTTTCACAAACAATATAGGGTTCTCATTCAACTCACCCCAGGGTTGGGTGCTTTACTTTTCATAAAACACTTTGCAAGCCAGTAACATTAAAAAAAAATTTCCAGAAAAAGGGAAAAAATTATGCAGCACAGCACTTGTAATCGTTTAGAAATTTGTCATACTGGAAAATAGTGCCTGTAGTTCATTATCAATATAGTAGATTAAGGCCTCTAGGAAAAAGAATCTCTATGCAAACCACAAAAATCAAATTAGCACACTTGAATTCTATACTGCCATCAAATCAAGGAGGACAAAGTTGAAATATTCAGATATACTTATTGAAATGTTCCAGATACAATGTGAACTTGACTTGTTGCTCAAGTCAAGTTTGGATTGTAGTAAAGTAAAACAGTCAATGTACCTAAATGTATGTCCAATATACTACATAACTATATGAGTAAAAAAAAACTAACCATGCGAACAATTTTGGCTATCGTTGAGTTAGAACCAGTTGAAGAGGCTTCAATCCTTAAAGGACCATCCTGAAATAAATAAAAAGGTGGATAAATGGTTAAATGAAACATCAAAGGGAAAGACTCACAGAAAATTCAATTTCATGAAGTTATAATGAATGAACAAGTATGTAGATTTCTCATTAAATTGTCATATATATCCCAAATATACGCAAAAATAAGTTCCTCAACCTTCCTCCAATAGTGAATTCTTTGGATGATTTGTGGTCAAATTTTTGTTGGTAAATCTTTCAAATCTCATTCTTACTAGCCTTAGTTATAGGTTTGGCAGTCATTATCACATCTGAAAAGCTAGCAACAAGCTCTGCTTTGAGGAAACAGGTTTCTCATTTCTTGCACTCAATTTCTATGCTCTAGCTAGATTTCTTTTTTGAATTCTTTATGTTCAAGTAATGTGATTGGTGGTCAAAAGCAACAAATTTATGAAAATCTTCATCTAAACAATCTTCTAAGGAGGGTTCCCAATATACATACCATATTTTGGTTCTCTCCCCCAACTAGCTAGATCAAAGTCAACATAGATGGAATAACCGAAGGAGATTCAGAACCTTCTAATTGTGGCACAGAGTTCAGAGGTTTCAATGGAGCAGTTGTTCTGCAGTTTCTATAGACAACATTCAGCTTTCTATGCTGAACTTTATGCTACTTTATCAACTATAGAAATTGCTAATTCAAAAGGTTGGTTTTTGTTAAGCATTGAATATTTTTCTATGGCTGGTGTTTTATGCTTTCATAGTCTGAAATTTCAACTTCTTGAGGAGCTTTGGATGAATGGCTTAATTGCATCTCCATTATGCAAGGAATGCACTTTGCTGTTCACATATTTACAGGGAAGGTAGCAAATTGCAGATTGNATGTTCAAGTAATGTGATTGGTGGTCAAAAGCAACAAATTTATGAAAATCTTCATCTAAACAATCTTCTAAGGAGGGTTCCCAATATACATACCATATTTTGGTTCTCTCCCCCAACTAGCTAGATCAAAGTCAACATAGATGGAATAACCGAAGGAGATTCAGAACCTTCTTATTGTGGCACAGAGTTCAGAGGTTTCAATGGAGCAGTTGTTCTGCAGTTTCTATAGACAACATTCAGCTTTCTATGCTGAACTTTATGCTACTTTATCAGCTATAGAAATTGCTAATTCAAAAGGTTGGTTTTTGTTAAGCATTGAATATTTTTCTATGGCTGGTGTTTTATGCTTTCATAGTCTGAAATTTCAACTTCTTGAGGAGCTTTGGATGAATGGCTTAATTGCATCTCCATTATGCAAGGAATGCACTTTGCTGTTCACATATTTACAGGGAAGGTAGCAAATTGCAGATTGGCTAGCTAATATACATCTTCATTGTAATTCTTGTCTTGGAGGGATTCTTCTCCCTAACAAATTCATAAGAGCATATTTGAAGGCACTAGGGGACTACGTAAGCATTGATTTAACTCGTTTGAATTTTTTTGTGAGATATTTTTAGCTCAAAGTTGTCATACCTTTATTTTTATACTTTTATTGTACTTCGTACTTTTGTTTCATTGGTGTGCATATTTGCATTTCTTTTATGTATTTAGATTCTTTATGAGGGGTAAAGCTCAATTCATTCCCCCGTCTCCGTGTCAATTTTTTTTTTTTTTTTTAATATTTATTTATAAATCTCTCGTCATACCGTCACGTTTACCACACACAAAAAAATAAAAAAAAGGAAGTTACTCGACCCAAAACAAATGAAAAAGAAGTAGAAAATGACATAATAGTAATTACAACTATCTCAAGTAATTTGGTCATAAAGACTGGTCTACTAATCATACCCAGTTTATTGTTCCAGATGAGACGATGCTGCTTTCTTCCTTGAAAACAGGAAGTGATTCTCCAGTGAGCATGGATTCATCAACAACACTTCTTCCTGCAAGAACTCTACCCTGCAGAAGAGAAGTTGAATTTAGCTAACATTAAATGTACGAACTACAAAACTTTACATAGTGAGAGTTTAATACTATTGTCATCTTAATTCTCTCAACATCAGCAAGGACTTTTTAGTTTTAAAAAGAGCGCCAATTTCTGTCTTTACATGATTCTGCTCAATCTGTGTTACAATCCATGTAAAGGGCAGCTGGGGTGGCAGTTGACCATCAAATCTAACCAAGCATTTATGAAATTGTAAGAGAAGAATCTGTGGAGTTCGTAAGATCGATATTTTAGAATTTTTGCAGTAAAAACCAGTAAAACCATATAATTTTACATTAAAAACTTATGCCATTACTCAACCCACAAGGCGCTTTCTGTGATTGTAAAAGATGTCCGCTTAAAAGTAAATATAAATTCATGGCATACTTATCATGATAGTTTCGGAAAAATAACAGCACAAATGTATACCACACAAAGGTATATGGCTTCTTTTGATGTCAATAGTTCACAACATCTAATTTTAAACAATGGGGAACTCAATAAACAATCTGAAACACTTACATCTACAGGAATAGTTTCTCCAGGCAAAACCAATACTGAGTCGCCAACTCGAATATCATCAGTTGGGACATCAACACAAATTGCATCAGAACAAAGTACACTATCAGCAGAAGAGCTACTTTCTGATGAAGCAATCACAAGTCTTGACTGAGTGGACATGAGTGACTGCAATAACAACCAGCCCATGGTGAAATCAAAGTGTAAAATCATATGATATGAATTTTTAGTGGAACACATTACAAGGAGATACAGCAATAATAACTGAAATTGCATCACAATATCTAGCAACTTTCTGTTTCAGCAACTTTTAAAATAAAATGTATAGAGTTGTCACAAAATTAGGTAATACAGTGCTAGATTCCAACTAGAAATTCAGAAAATTGAAGAAGCAAAGGCTACAAAGAGTAGAAAAAACAAGCAGAAGAAATCTAGCAGCTAGAGAGAGGAACTAGTAATGTGAGTTCTACATGATCTGAGAAAATGGGAACAATAAAAGTACACCTATTTAGATTTTTTTGTGTAATGTTCTATATTAAGAGGAATCAAGATCTGTAGTATCAGAAACAAAAGTAGCAGTCTTCAGGTTAGCAACATGGACTACATTCAATTGATTTGTCATACCATTTCACAGATACACATGTTCTCCATTCAAGCAGTTGTTAAAGCTACTACATAAAATGGTGGGCATGAGCATTATTTTGATGTAAATAAAAGCACTAATTAAAAATATACCAGCAGGAACCTAGTACTGATATAAGTTTTCTGATGAAGGCACACTGATAGAAGCTACAACTACACCTGATTTCAAAAGATGGGACTCAAGTATCAGGTTTATTTCCTATTGAAAAAGGTAACAGGTTTATTCTTTCACACTGTAACAATGAAGCTCATTTTAACTTACTAAAAGTTCATTCATGTCACTAGATGCCCTAATCCTTGCCCTTTCTTCCAGAGAACGTCCCAGCAGCACAAATCCGAGAAGCATGACCTGCATGCTAAAAAACAAGAGCCTTATGTGAGAAATTTACCACATACAAAAAATAATTAGGATTCGCCTTTTCCTTCAATAAACATAAACAGCCATCAAAGAGATGGTAGACTGTTACATGAAAATCTGTTCAGCGGCTGGGATTAAGAAATTAACAAGCTTGCTACAGAAAAATGCAAAATGCACATAAGAACATCAGAAAGAAATAACCAAAGACTGAAAGTAAATCAAGTCACCGGTTCATCAAAGAATGATGCATCCCATTCAAGCCCAGGGTTCAGAAGTGAGACCTACAACAGCAAAGAATTCAAGAGTAGTAATAATTATAATACATTATACCTCATCATATTAATAGAACTTATAACCATCCAGAAATTGAAGAGCATATCTCACAGTACTAATGAGAAAAGCAGCAATGCATCCAAATCCCACAAGAGAATTCATATTAGGCGATCCTTTCTTGAATGCTCTAAGACCATCAAATAGCAAGTCTGCAGAAGATTCTTCCATTTAAATTAAAGGAACTAATGGATTGAGTTTGAATACTGCCGTAAAGAGTAAAAATTTATCCCTTACAACACCACTAAAACCCAGTTAGAGTACAAATCATGAAAATCTTTACAATCATTTTCTACTGGGCATATTTAGTAAACAACCTAAATCCTATGAATGCATAAACACGTATATACTAGATAGATTAATCAAAATATGTTTGAGAATCCAAACAAGAAGTAGAGTTATTACTAGTAGGTATTGACTACCAAACATCAAATATGCAATATTTTCGAAGTTTTTCTATCAAACTAAAACACCATATTTGTAATGTTTTACAAGTCTTACCTCTCCCTGGTCCCAACAATGCCCCTAATGCAACTCCACCCTTGACGTAAGAATTATGAAGCAGCTCCAAAAACGACCCTGAAGCAACAAAACAAACTAAGTTGAACTTCAAAACCACTTAATTAACAAAATCGTACAAACTTCATTCCACTAGATAAAACAAAAATAAAAAAAATAAAAAAATTACTATGACCAAAATGAATGCCCAAAGAATGCAAAATATGCGAAGCATGAGATCCACAACACAATGCCACCAAAGTCCAAGCAAACGCCAAGCGATTCCTGCTTTTCACAAGCAACTCCTCCTTCTTCGTCACCATTTCCTTCCATTTCTTCACGTTCTCCGCCACGCCAAGCCCTGACACTCTCCTCTTGGCCTCGAATCCACACTCCGTCAATCTCTTCCCTAAGCTCTCCGCAACTTCATTCAACACCTCTTCGTCCTCCGTGACGGCCTCGGCTTTCAGTTTGACCGCGGCCGTCTCCGTCAACAAGTTGACCGCCACCGAGTCGACGCGGTCGTCGGACGAGATAACCGATCTGACTCGAGCGACGCAGCCGCCGCACATCATGCCGCTGACATCGAGGAGGACCGTGGAGTCCAGTCGTCGTTTCGGAATCTCCAACGGTGCATTTTGCGTTTGAATTCTGGTGTCAAGAGTGTTAGTAACAGTAGAAGTCAACTGGTTGCGACGTCGTATTGAAAGACGAGAGTTGAAGTAAAGACGGTTGAAGTTGAGTTTCTTAGCGTAAGTGTAAGTAAAGCCGAGGTTTGGATAAGGAGGAGATAAAAGAGAGATTCTGAGCAAATCAGTAGCCATCGCAGAGAGCGGACGCGGAGAGGTTGATGGTGAGGACCGGTAGATTAAGAAGAGGTAGACGTTGAAGATCTCAACATGGTGGAAGTGAGGTTTGACACGTCAGATTACTATATTATCGGTTTCGTGTCCCGTTGCGGTTATGGCGGGTCCACCGATTTTGTGGTAAAAAACTGTAGGTGTGTCTAGCTGTAGGTAATCAGATAGTGCCACGTGGTAGATCAAGTTATTTTATTAAGTTTTATCTACGTCGGTTTTGGTTTAGTAATTAACGCACGTGAATAATGCTAGCTATTCCAAATTTTTAATCTTATAACTAATATATAAAATAATTAATCGATAAATTATGTGATTAGCACATGGGATGTCACATTATTTGAGACGAGAATACAAATTTTTTATATGAAAAAGAAAAAGAAAAATAGTTAACAGATGAAATTGAGCCTAAATCTCTTTGTAGGTAGGTTCAACCAATTTGGAACTTGGAAGAAAATAGGCAATTTTAGAAGGATTTCATCAAATCTCTTTTTCATAAATGAAATTTCGCTTTTAACCCTATTTTCAATCATTTTTAAATTAATCAGAATTTTAGCATTATTATGACATACTGTATGAATAATATTATGTATATAAAGTTTACATACATATAAAATAACGTATTTTAAAATAGATAAAAAAAATAAACATATTAATGACATAACAATATTAAGATATCTATAAAATATGAATGTTTAAATAAATAAAAACAAATCCCACCATATCCTGCTCACCGTCTCCTTCATCACAGAGCCAGGGGTTTGTGGTCGGGAAGATTCAAGTGGAGAGATTTTAGGGTGACGATGGTTTATTTTATTTTTTAATTTTATTACTGGGAAAATTAATTAAGAACAACAGGATATTTTCATACGGTATTCAAAACGAGGCGTTTTATGAGTGCCACGTAGAAAAATCTGTCCAGTCTACCCCTATCGCGATTCGCAAATACGTTATCTTCTTCAGTTTCTCTTCCCCCTTAGTGTTGAGCTTTTTACATAAAAAAAAATGGCTCTGAATGAGTTGTCAGCCGAGAACCCGAAATGTGGAGTAAATTTTAATTCAGTGCCTAACTGTATTATTCTCTCTTCAGCTTTTTCACAGACACCATTCGCCCACCCATTTTTCAGACCCTCCTTGCCTAAAAATCTGCTTCCTCTACCTTCTTCAAATATCATTACTCACCTTCACACTTCAATCATATCTTCCGCCGATAAGTTTTCCGCATTTATTCAATCTTTAGCCTCGCAAAATCCACTTCTTCAGAAATTTCACTCTTTCCCTTCCCAACTTCACAGTTTCTGCCATCAGGTACAACAATTAGTTTACTCAATCATGCGTTGTGAAGTTGGGGTTTATATTGTTTTTTTAATTTGTTGAAATTCACTTCAGGTCCGTTCCAGGAACTGCGTGAAGGTGAATTTTCTGTCAAATCACAAATTTGCAGCCGTATTACCGGGTGATTCGGTGGCGGGTGTTGTGGTGGCTAATGGAATCCTGAATTTCCTCAACCTATACAACACCCTGTTGGTTGTTCGCCTTGTTTTGACCTGGTTCCCTAACTCTCCTCCTGCCATCGTTAGTCCTCTCAGGTACATTTTCTTCCATTCTCAACTTAAACTCTTATTTTGGAATATGGTCATAACTTAGATTTGACATAGCATTACGAATCTCTTTTGCTAATTTATTAACGTAATTATCTCAATATCTTTAAGCCTTTTTACGTGTAACTTTAAAATAAATAAAAATCACTTGCGATGAACTTGTAATATACTTGACATCTATATTTATTTAACTCCGGATAACTTTAGGAATTTCTCAGTATTTTATAATTTGTTTATTGTGGTTCCCAGTTTAGTTTCATTTTGATCTATTTATAATATTTGGAGAATATGTTTTTGCTTCAGCACCTTGTGTGACCCGTACTTGAACATATTTCGTGGAATCATTCCACCATTAGGAGGGACCTTGGATCTCTCTCCCATTCTAGCATTCTTGGTTCTAAATGCGTTTACTAGCACTGCTGCTGCACTTCCTTGTGAGCTTCCTGCATCAGGATCCACTCCGGTGAGTCCTTCATCTGCTCCAAGTTTTACTCATCTCACTACATCACAGCTGAAATGGATCAGAAGGCTACATGGCAACCGTGAAAGGAGCTCCAACAATGTCAATTAGGCTGTCAGACTAATTGCCGAAGATTCTCATAATTTTTGACAACCGGTTTTCTCCAACTCCACCGGCTGAAAAAATTGTAGAAATTCTTTGCCACATGGTAGTTGTTGTTATGTGATGTTTGTATCTTCTTACTATCTGATTTGGAAATATATGAATGGAAGTTTTGAATCATGAANTACTAGCACTGCTGCTGCACTTCCTTGTGAGCTTCCTGCATCAGGATCCACTCCGGTGAGTCCTTCATCTGCTCCAAGTTTTACTCATCTCACTACATCACAGCTGAAATGGATCAGAAGGCTACATGGCAACCGTGAAAGGAGCTCCAACAATGTCAATTAGGCTGTCAGACTAATTGCCGAAGATTCTCATAATTTTTGAGAACCGGTTTTCTCCAACTCCACCGGCTGAAAAAATTGTAGAAATTCTTTGCCACATGGTAGTTGTTGTTATGTGATGTTTGTATCTTCTTACTATCTGATTTGGAAATATATGAATGGAAGTTTTGAATCATGAAAAAATGTGAAATTTTAATATATTTGTTGTTACCATAAACTAATGTAGGATGGTTGATTATGTTTCTGCTCCATCTTAAAATTAGAATGTTTCATATATGTGTTGAGGATTGGATATAGGAATTTAAATTAGGCTGGTTTTTTTGGATTAATGTCATTTTAGATTAGAAACTGAAGTTTTAGAAGTGAATTATACTTGAAGCAAGTTTTGCCACCATGCTAATCCTCTTGTGCTGATGTTCACTTTGATTTAGACACTGTTCTTTTCCATTTGAATTTGGTGTTAATTTTAATTTATTAGCCATTACATGTGGAAAAAGTAGGGAACTTTAGGTATATGTTCTGCCAAGGTAATTTAGAATTATGTGAGCATGATGATAACATATAAGAATTTTGAGAATTCACGGGATGCAGAAAGCATCAGATTTTTAAACAATTATGGAGTCAGCATCATATTAATATTTTAGTTAATGGAGGATTCTACATTATTCTCATCCATCCAATACAAAAGTAAAAGCTTCAGCTTCATGAAGAAGCAGCCAACCCAAATTTTCTGCAGCACAAAATCTGGAAGGATTCCCAGAAATAATGGGCTAAAAAGAGAGTGCCCTGTTTCCAACTCTCCTTCATAGTGGTTGGATCGTGACATTCTCTGAAAAGCAAAGATCATATCAACTACTATTTATAAAGCATATTCAAAATCAATGATCAACAAAAGAGGGTTAATCTTATCTCTTTAACTATTCACCCCGCGCACGTGCCTGGAAATAATATTTGATCACAAGATTGAATATTTCTTATTGGTTTCAAAATTTATTAGTCTTCATGAATTTGCAAAAATCATCGTAAACCTCTCTAAAATGAATTCTGGGTTTTAGCTAAGGGATAGATAGATAACATTAAAATCAACCGTCGGAGATTCTGAGGGTGAGACATTTGTAATTAAACTTGGTTCCCACTTTGCATTTTCTAACAGAACACAGTTAAAACTACAATATTAAACAGCAATAAAGGGTGGTTTCTTTTCTTTTCTCCTGATAGTTGTTTCCTGATCCTGAATGGAGCCAACAGCTGCATGCATGAACAGGAGTAGCAGGTCGTCTTCATGTGAAAGGTTGGTGGCTATTAGCTTGACACTTCTAGCTGTCTTTTCACCTCTCTATATCAACCGCAGACCCACCAGTGACTTGGAACTCGAAGATCAAACCATCAATCTTGATTCCTGGTTGCCTCTTTTGCTCCTGCTGCTCATCTTGGCCATAGCCTTGTCCCTTTACTTGGACCAGAGCTTTTCCAGGTTTGATCCTTACTGGATACACAGAGTTGGGGGTTCTTCTGGTGGTATCATCATCATTCTTTTGGTTCTTGCTTTGGTTTTAAAGTGTAAAGCTTCTATGATGAACTAAAAGGCCTGGCTGCAATTTTGTGTTTTGAAATTTTCAGTACTTTCAGAGCTTAGAGATAGGTATTTTTGTTATGAAATTGATGTAAATTTCTTGCTTTCCATCTCTTTTTATTCCTTTTATTTCACTTTGAACTGCCAGATACTTATTTTTAGACTCTAGTTTTTGTTTTTCCTGCAGTGTACTGTGCTCTGTGTGTTCTTTAACAAGATAGTTACTTACATAAAGAAACCATTTCTGAATCAGTCAGCTGGCTCAATGTTTATGTATTGAGCTACTCTTTTTAATAACAAGAAGTAATCTTCCAAACTTAATTTGAGAATTGAGACACTGAACAAAATTCTAAGCAAAACTTAATTTGAGACACTAGCAAAATTCTAAGCAAAACTTAATTTGAGACACTAAACAAAATTCCAAGCAATTCTATGGTACATTGAACTCTAGTCCTGCAAAGAAATTGCAACCACTCAAAACGTTTGCCGCAGTTGGGAAGAAGAGTTTTCAACTAGAATTGTTGGCCAGGAATCAATGGTTTCTTTCTGATAATTTTTTAAATTTAGTAAGGAAACAAAATTGAATAAAACTTTCTACGGCATACTTCCACTTCAAATTTTCTTCTCCATAATAAGTTACAGAAAGAAAAAGAAAGACATTTCTTCTCCTTCCTCTGTTTAATTTTAACAAGTCGCGTCCCATAAATAGGGTTGATCATTATTATGCTGATCCAAGTCTCTTGGACAATGAACACTGAACAAATATATTGATAGATGCTAACAAGGCAGCCCTCATGGTTCATCATTTTACTCACTTTGTGATACTAACTTCAGTACAACATCCGACATTGTCACCACAATCATCTCATCAGGCATCAGCAAATTTGAGAATATTCCATCCGTCCTATCTAATAATGCATCATGCTTCTATGGGATACCATGAAAGAGGTACAGGTATCTTGAAAAGAATTAGGTGGGCATGGGGTTTGATTGAATTTGAGAATTGGGAAGCTATATCTTCAAAATTGAAGAATTTAAATTGATGAACAAAATATGATGGTAATTTTCCATTTCAATGTTGTATGTGTCAAAAAAAATTGACATTGGTTAATGAAAAATGTATGAAGGGCTTTTTTCCTGTACAGTTGGGACTTGGGGTGGCAGGTTCCAAACAGAAATGATCAAGAATCTGAGTGATTTGAATTTCATTAATCAACTTATAAAGAAGTCGATGGGGAGTAGCGCAGTGGACCCTTCTGCGGTTCAAGGTCATCCAGATGTTCTAATAATGGTTTTAATCCCAATCCAATGATCTGCACCTTTGAGTTTGAATGTCCATTCAAAAACAAATCTGTAATCTGCAAAAAGAACCACGAAACATCCAAAAATAGACAATCAGATGGGTAACCAATTCCAACTGGTATGTATGGCAATTAAATCATTTTAGGTTAAGAGGGATATACTGAGATATGAGCATCCTGAATATTAAATGTTATGATGATGATATGCACAAATTGAACAGCAACAATCATGATTTCATATACCATATGAAGTCATAGAATAAACCATATACCCTGAGATAAATTCTAAACAACCAAACGTAGACTTGAAGATCATAGGATGAAGTATGCAAACTGAACAGTTAAATTAAAGAGATTGTTTTAAATTATAAGATGTGTGCAGTGTGTTTTCCTGCAAGTTATTTAAATCTCACAATTAGTTTGCAAGCTATGCAAGCTACTCACACTCCTGTGCCCTGAACTTTGAACTAGACAGACACATTAACAATTTGGTCACTTAGCAGTTGGTTCCATGACATGTCATTCATAGATCAATGCCATTCAAGTAATAATATTTTTGAGTTTCCTTAGTCAAATGGATGAGAAACCGAAAACATGCATTCTAACTACTGCAGTGTTACACATGAAGCAAATTTCATAAGGTGTGTTACACATACAGTAATCACCATCACTAAAAACCACATAAAATTATAATCTCATGAAATCTGATACTTCTCTACAAATCAACATACCTAAATAACAGTCTCCATAAATGCTGGACTCATATATATAAATGTGGAGAAAATTTCCGTGATTCCTTAAATGGGATCCAAGCAAGAAAAAAAAAAAACAAAAAGAAATTTTTTTTGGACCATACTTCAAAAGTTCCCTCTCAACTTTTCCTTATTTAAGTATTTCGACTGGATACTCAAAACATTTCTAAGCATCAAGCTAATGATGAAAGAAACAAATTTATAAACAACAATTCTGCTTTTGTAGACCAAGCTAAATGACCCTGGACTTTCATACCTGTGTACATCCAAAGAGTTTAAGCAGCCTTAATGACGAGCAGCTGTCAACAATAAATCCAAGTGCCTCATTCCTTAATCTGCGGCACCAGGACAGGTCCAAACTCTGCAAATTTCTTGAACATTTGCCAAGTGACAAGGCAGTGTTCAGACCAACCTGTTATAAGTAGCTCATTAGATATAAAATTAGAAGTAGGACAGGCCCCTCTTTTGTGAATTCACTTTGTTCAGCAAGATAATTGGTTTCTGTGGTTCAGAATGGAATAAAAGAAAGCCAAAACAAGATCAGATAAGGTATGTTGATGTCTCTCACCTCCTTGATATGATTCAGTGAAAGTTCACTAAGTGAATCTCCGGTGACTTCCAAGAAGGCTGCAATGGCTTCATCACTGCAATAATTACAAATTCCAATAATTTCTTGTATTAAGGTAGAAAATAGATTGAGTAATCCTGACAGCAACAAAATTTCCAAGGAATCAAATGAGTTTGCAGTAAGCCAATATGATATACTTCAAGTTCTAAGTTCTAACCAGGCAGGCAGAGGACGTTGTAACTTAAGGAGTAATAGTTGAAAGTAAAATAATTGTATTAAATCAACAGTGCCTAGTTATTGTTTCATGTCAGCTACACGATGGTGTTTTACATTCTAGAACATAAAAGCCATGGCCGTAATTTAAACACATCTATTCAAGTCCTTTTCAGTAAAAATTTACTTTTCAGGCACACCTTGCTAGGGGTTCTACAAGAAACAGCCAAACAAAAAACATGACTTCCTGAATAGTTACTGCATTCAATTGAAAAGCTTTTAAGCATGATGTTCCATTGTACAGATACAAATGAACATAATACTTAGAAACACAAAAGATAAAGAAGGAAGATGGTTTTTATTTTAATGCAACTACCAAAGAGGTGCTTAAAGGTCCCTGGCATATTTCTAGAATTTTCAAACTGTCACAAGATAAGCTTTACATATTTTGTAATCCACCTGAACAATTCTCCTTGCCTTAGCCAACTGACAAACAAGTCTATTCCATACACGTACAAAAAGACAGATACTGCTACCGTCAGAGAAAGCTCTGTGCTTTTAAATGCTATCTACCATATAGTTGACTAGTATGTAATAATTGACCAATTAGGATAGAAATGAATCATGATATCATAGTCAATTAACTATGCTAATGTGGATGTAAACCGAGAATAGATATAATTGAAAAGAAACCTGAAACTGTTACGGTAAAGTTTAAGGCTGCGAATTGATTGGCAACCATCAGCAAGATATTGCAATGTTGAATTTGTCAGCTTATGTAAGTTGGAAAGATCAAGGGCACATAATCTTGAACAATTTTTCCCCACAGCTTTAAAAGCTATATCAGTCAATTCCCTGCATGTAGACAAAATACCTTGATCAGAAAAAGATAAATACACATATATAATTCAATGTTGCAATGTGCATAGTTAAGTAAGAAGGACTCACACACATTCAGCGAAAACAAGCTCTTTCATATTTGTGCCACATGCTTTGACTATCTCAATGACAAAATCATCGCAGACAGACTCAATACTTGCCACCGACAACACTTCAAGATATTTCAGTTTCTTTAAAGCAGGTAGCATAACCGTTGCATCAATGTCTTGACAGTGATCTATATACAGCTCTCTCAAAGTATATTCAAGACAGCTAACCAGAGCAGCGATGCCAGAAGATGTGAGAAGGGAGCAATGGCTTAGATTTACAGACTGCAGTGCAGGGGCGGATTCAACAAGTGCAGTTAGCCCAATATCTGTCAAACGGAGAGCACCCCTCAGAGATACGGTAGCCAAGGCAGGAAGGCTACAGGATGACCTGGCTAAGTTGTTGCGCAATACATTATCAGGCAGAGACTGTCCACTCAGGTCAAGTTGTAATACCTGCCTCCGGAACCAGGGAACATCAAAATTAATTGACATCTAAGTCTTACCAAATTTATAATGAAAGAACTTAAGAAGAGCTAATATTTGAAGCAAAAAAATATTAGCCACCAAGTGCTCAAAAGCATATCTCTTAGCAAATGATAAGGATAATGATGGATAATGATGGTGCTCAATTCAGTTTATATTATTCAAAGTCAGTAAATGTATTCATTGACCATCCCTTCAATTCTTAACTTGATGAAATATTATACTTTTATTCTATTTTTCAATTGACATGATAAAATTATGAAACTTATTTTGGAGTATCATTGATAAGCACTTATAGATTTTGTTTTTTCTACTTCTAGCAGAAGTTATTGTAAAACTAAAACTGAAATCCAAGTGGCAAATTTCAAAAGAATTGTGAACAATAATTGCACGACCATTCTTCTTGCTTTTAAAGTTTCGCAAACCAAGGCCAAGTTTATTGAAGCATGCACCTTGATGAATATGGACACAGAGCTTATTTTGCCTCGCATGAATATTTGACAAGATACATTAATCTTCTACCATGAAAAATTAATAATTCAAACTTTTACATCAAAAAAGCTAGTGATTCAGGACATAAAAGCAAGATAATAAATTCTTGATAAAGCTGAAAGCATTAAGTAAAGATTAACTTACAGTCACGTGTTGAGTGTTACAAGAACCCAAGATTTTGGTTAAATCATCTTCTTCCAACTGTGCACAGTTTTTCACACGTATCTCAGTGGGAGATCCCCTGGCAAGAAGCTCAACAAAGGAAGCATCCATTTTCCCTTTATCACAAATCATCCTACTAAGCTTATGCCTCAAGAAATCTGGAACATGCTCAAGTGACACCATTGCCTCAGAATTCTTCGCAAGAACATTCAAACTATGTTCCAACAATGGAGGAACACCTCGCTTCACAACACCACTTCCACTAACCTTTGAAGGCACCCACTTCAAGCCTCCATCTGGCGACTTCTTTTGGCCACTTGAACTTGGATTCCTCTTCTTGATCATTATCATTGCTACACAAAAAGGACTATCCAAATCTTGAAATTCATCTTCAGCTTCCTTTACCACCACGTTCGTTTCTTCCGGATGGTACTTTCTCCTGTAGAATTCTTCATCAGGAATAGAACGCGCAAGCCTTGGCGCATGGTATCTTGCAATCTCATGATACTTTTCTCTTTCTTCTCTTTTTCTCACCTCCTCTCTCAAATCCAACAAAAATTCTACCGCTTTAACATTTTCTTGCTCACTCTCAGAATCTGAAGCTTCAGCTTCAAAGAAATTATGCTCCACCACAGGCCCCATATTCTTTAACGATGATTCAACCTCAATTTGTGGCCAAATATTGTTTGAATTTATCTTCTCACTTTCTTTTCCAACTGGGTTTTGACCCAATTCAAGACTGAGATTATCTTCAGAATCTTCAATGACTATTAACGGCACACAGTCATCAACTTTAGCCTTGCCCTTCTCTCCACTGGAGTACCTCCTTCTTTTTCTCAGGGAACCATCTGGGTTGTTCTCCGTTGTTCTTATTTCACTGTAAACTGACTGGTCTATTTCCGTTTGTTTCTCCAAAAAATTATCCCCAAATTGAAACCCTAGTTCACTGTCACACCCATCTGGCTGCCTATTCAAATCCAGATTCAATATCCCATGCCCTTTTCCAAACAAATTTATAGCCGTCATTTCTGTAATTTTATTCTCTTTTTCTTCGTTTCGTTCACCGTTCCATTTAAAGAACAAAAATTTCTACCACTGCCCGATAAATACAGCCGGTTTCAATTCTTCACCTAATCAAAACAAGGCTCCACAATCTCACGCTTTAAGTGTGCTCATACTTCCCGCGAAAATTAACGGAAATGTTTTGAGCTGTGTGCCTTCATCTAAAAGAAAAAAAATAAAAATAAACTACAACACATGAACTACAGCTAACAGTTACGAACACACTCTATCAAACCCAGTTCTATATGGTCCTAGTTTTATAATCGAGGGTTGACATGAGATAGGTGTGATTTGTCTTTTGAACCCAGCCGTTAGATGATTATGTCATCCAACGGGTGTGGTTGAAAAGTGGACTGAACCCTGTGGTTGGTGTTTAAGTGATGCGTGGGAACAAGTAATTGGGACAGGGGCAGAGCATAGATGTAGATTTTTGAAGTGGGGTTACCATGGGGATTATTTCCCTTTCATCCTTAAAGTTTAAGGTATGTCCATTGTTGCCATATTAGATGACTGACGTTTGTGTTGTTAACCCACTGTTTTAATACCAACAATAAATCTAACATATTGATGTAATTTAAACTTGAGAACTCTTTACGATGTCAAAAAAGTTGACCAACAAAGGGATGGTCACGGCCGAGTCAAGGAAGGGACCTCTGTCGCCGAGCCTAGCTCGTCCCGAAGATGCGGATGTTGGGGAATCTCTGAGCCCAATCATAGGGAATTTGGCGATTTTACTCTTTATTAACAATGAAAAGATTTGTATGATTATGGTTTTACTTTTACTCTATTTATTTTTTAACCCAAATTTTTTATTTGCAATAATATATATAGCATATATGTTAATATATATATATTAGGTAATTATATATATGTTATTATGATATTATGTATCAATAATATAATATATATTAACATTAACATTTATATTTGGTAATAATATATATGTATAACATATATATTAATATTTACATATATATTAGGTAATTATATAAATGTATAAATTTAATCACAATAACATAATATCATTTCTTTGAAAAAATTAAATATTTGTTCTTTTGTATGCAATCTTATCAATAATCATCCACAGTTATATATATATATATATATATATTCCAACTAGAGACAAGACTACCTTCGTCCTTGAGTCCTGGGAATGTTATTGGGCCAAGGCCCGTCTCGACCCCCAATTGATTCAGGGAATCTTTGCCCTGTCTAAGGCGTGCCGAGGCAAGTCCCTAACAGAGGCGGAGAAAATGCCCATCCCTACCAACAATATTAATGTCAGGATTAAAATGTTTATATTATATACCATAGTGTTGGGAGAAGTGAACAAACCCTAAATCTTAGGGATGAAAGGAAAATATGGCAGTTACGGTGTGTGGGTCAAAATCCGTTAATTTAAATATGCCCACTATGAACCTACAAATCAAGATGAAGATGATGAAGAAAAAGAAGAGAATAAAAAGGTCCAGAAAGAGAAAGTAGTTGAAAAGTTTCAACCACCAACACCAAGGCTTTTTGCCCTTCTTATATTTTCAAGAAGGATTTTTGTAGGATATTGTTGATGCACTAAAATAAGAGTAATGTTATATGTACAAACAACTCTTACAAAGATTTATGTACAAACTGATGTATAGAAAATGAATAGAAGAGTGGATACAAAAAGTCAAACTCATCATATTCACTCTTCCATTCATTTTCTGCCACATCAATTTGTACACAAATCTTTGTAAGATTTGTTTGTACATTTAGCATTATTGCTAAAATAAACAAGTATAGTTGGTCACATGGGTTATTTATTGGTGGATTTTATCATGTATAAATTTTGTACAGTATTGTGTTTTGTGAAAATATTAAAAATAGTCATAAAATAATTAATTCAAATTATGTAGATTTAGAATTTGAGAACAATAATAAAGAAAACAAGGTAAAAGGTATTTAGATTTTGACCTTGTGAATTTAAGGCTTTGAGATTTGTTGCCATTTTGATTTTGTAAAAGGCAATTGAGTGATTTGGATTGGATATGGAGAGAGAAATCTTTCCTTTCGGGTTCCCGGGTTAAGTCTTCCTATTTAATTGAAACCATATATTTTTTTTAATTAATTAATACATTATACTTTTCTTTCTAATACCAGCATCCAAACCTTGATAATTAATTACATAATTAACTAATTACTTAATTTTAGCAATTTTTACATAAATATGGACTACCACAATCCAAGTCCTAATCAATAGACACCAAAAATGTGTATTCTATAGAATTATAAGTATGGTGATTCTAAACTCTCTAACAATAATTAATCCCTTCTAGTTTTGGTAATAGCTCAAACCTATCATTTCTCATAATTACTTGATTTTATCATTGACACTGTATTTACTATTTACCCTAATTCCCAATAAAATAAATAAATACAACCCATTTTTAATTTATAAAATAAATTAATAAAAAATTAAATCCAATACCCCAAACCCTAATCCTCAAACCCTTAGTAGCAAGTAGCAACAATGGACTCTCACTTTTAATTTAAGGTATATACAAAACTCATTAATTGGTGATAGTAAACAATTTGTTAGCATAGATTCACACTAAAAGATAAATAATAATAATACTAATAATAATAATTGTTGTCATATTCAACTTGCTTACTATTATTAAGTTGAGAATAAAATTTGGTTGGTAGACTTATTAATGCTTCCCCGATAATGGACTTCCACAATGAAATCAAGCGTAATTTATAAAAAAAAAAAAAAAAAAGGGTTTCTTTAGAGTTAACGACATGTTCCCACAAAAAAAATGGTCTATTACCAAATTCATACCCTCCCACTTTTAAAATACCTTTTTACTGTCAGAGTAGAAATCTATTAACAATTTTCATTGTGATAAAGGGTAGTATGGTCATAAGACATTTGTAAGTAAAGGTAAAATGGTCAGTTGACATTTTGCACATAAAATCAAAATTTCAAATTGTAATATGGGAAATGGGGCAATGAAGGTGTGCTCTGCATTGATTCCCCACCCTCTATTGACCAACTCAGGCCCGATTTGGTCGTTGCCGTCGTCATTGGCCTTCCCCGACTCCACCACCAACATCCCCACCCTCCATTGACCAAAACCCCCAAGGTTCCCGCCTATATCCTCCCACTGATCGCCAGTTGCCATTATGTTAGGGCTTCAGATTTCTTAGCCAAATTCTGGCCGATTCTAACAGCCAAAACTACCCTCACCACCACTCCTAGCATCACTTGTGCCTCCTCTTCAAAACCCCTATAATCCCACCTCCTGGTAACTCGCTGATCGACGTCTACGATAGCATCGCCTGCCGTCACATTTGGGTTGTTTTTCTTAGTTGTTTTAGCTTCGATTTGACTGGATTTTGGTTTGATTTGGAGTTTGTTTGTTTGTGTTGTGGATTGATTGTACAAACCCCCTGGCCATTTTCCCGATCATCGGAATCACCTCATTTGCCCCCTACACAATGCTTACCAATTGTTCGACAATTTGCCTCAACTAGTCATGTGAACACAAATCTGGCGGTAGCCGGCGATTGGCTAGAAATATTTTCAGTCAAACATCAAGGGCATTTGCATCTTCACAATAAAAATGTCTATTTTTAATGGAAATTGTTAATAGAATTTCTGCTAAGGGTACTAAAAGGGTATTTAAAAAGTGGGTGGGTATGAATTTGTCAATGGACCATTTTTGGGGTGGGAACATGCCATTAACTCTTTCTTTTTATAGTGACCACCTACTAGTTTTAGTGTTTGATCTTCTTTGTAGTGACTCTAGTAAGCACTCGCTGATTTCGGAAATGTTTTCAATTCAACCTTCAAATTTATTAATAATTTCATAAATTTAACCTCCAAAAAAGTTAAACAAAATTTCTCAACTTTGTTAACAAATTTTGAATGTTAGATCGATTGAATTCAGGTGAATAGTAAAAATGCTATTTCCTTCAAACTTAAATAAAATAACATAACAGTCCGTAAAAGATGGGGGTTAGGGTATCAACAATGCTACAGACACCAGGGTTTTTACACCGAAATCTTGTACCGGCCTATGTGTCCAATGACTCACACCATTCAACACATTTCATGTTATTAATTTTTTTTCTAGTGAACGGCCGTTTATCAAATATGGACGGTCGTTCACTTACATGGACTTCTGTCCATATTATATGGACGGGGGTCCATTTACTACGGACAGGCGTCCCCATTTAAAGGACGCCCGTCCATCAGTAAATGGAATAAAAAATATAAAAAAAATTAGGGACGGTCGTTCATAGGTTATGGATGGCCGTCCATAAATATTGGACGGGCGTTCATATGTTAATGGAAGCCCGTTCATAAACAATCATTTTTAAAAATTAAAAAACATTTAGGGATAGCCGTTCATCAGTTATGGACGACCGTCCCCTAATTTGGGACGGGCTCCCACAAATAAGGGATGCCCGTCCATAATGTAAATATAAAATTTTTAAAAAAACTTGGGATGCCCGTCCATAAATTGTGGATGGGCGTCCCTAACGTGTGGACGGGCGTCCGTAAGGAATGGACGCCTGTCCATATTTTGGTTTTAAAAATTTAATAAAATCTTTGGATACCCGTCCATAAATTGTGGACGGGCGTCTGTAAGGAATGGACACCCGTCCATTATGTATGGACGGCTGTCTGTAAGTAATGGACGCCCGTCCATTATGTAAGGACGGTCGTCCGTAAGTAATGGACGACCGTCCTTTAGTTTTGGACGGGCGTCAGTATTGTAATTAAAAAACGTATTAGGTTATAAAAAATTGGGGGAAGGTTTTAAAATTAAAACAACACAGCTGCGGTCTTCTTCTTCGTTTCCATTTACGCTCTGGTTCATCGTCTTCCTCATCTCATCTGCGCTCTTGTTCTTCGTCTTCCTCATCTACGCTCTTGTTCTTTGTCTTCCTCATCTGCCATTGGTAATTAGACACTTTCGTATTTCAATTTTTTTTTTTTTTTATGTTGGATGAATGTGTTGGATTCTACATTTATGTTGAATGGAGTTGAGTTGATAAAGAGAAATCCAATTAATTTGGTGGGACTGGTTTGTGTGATTGATAAATAGAAGTGTTCTGTTTTGAGTGTTTTTGGCTTGGAAAAAGCTTACATTCTTTGTTGGTTGGCTTGGAAAAAGCTTACGATACAATTAAATTAAGCCTACAAAATACTGTCAAGTGTTATAAACAA